AGCCTACCCTAGACCTGCTGAATAAGAATTTGCTTTTTAACAAGGGACCCAGGTGATCTATATATACGTAAAAGTTTGAAAAGCCCCAATTTATAAGTTCTTTCTTGGATGGGTGAAGGAAGGAGTTCCAGATATGTCTTTTCTGCTGTAATTCTAGGCTCCTAGGTATTTTGAGTATTTTCTTGAAATGCCAGAATTAGCATCTGGGTGTTTGAAAACTGTAACCTGACCACTCTAGCCTCCCTGCCACTCCATCCCTGTGCCAGCCTTGGAAAGCTGTTCCCCTTTTCTGTGCTTGCTGTCTTTACTGTCAAGAACCATATCTAGCTGAGGGCTGAGAGTGCTCTCAGGCCCTCAACAGCCATTCCAAGGGAGAAAAAGATTCTTCCATCCCTGTCCACGTGCTGTAGACTGAATGGCTATGTCCCCTCCAAATTTATATATTGAAACCTAATCCCCAAAGCAATGATATTAAGGCGTGGGGCCTTTGGGAGGTAATTTGATTATAAGGGCAGAGCCCTTTGAATGAGGTCAGTGTCCGTATGAAAGCGAACCTGGGAATTCCTTTACTCCTTCCTCCATGAGAGGACACAGTGAAAAAGTTGGCTCTCTATTAACTGGGAAGCAGGGGCTCAACAGACACCAACTCTGCTGGCACCTTGATCCTGGAGATCCCAGCCTCCAGAACTGTGAGGAATGTTTCTGTTGTTTATAAACTACCCAGTCTATGGTATTCTGCTCTAGCAGCCTGAATGGACTCAGACACGAGGTAATTGAGCTGGACAGAGGAGAGACTTGCATTGCTTATGAAATGAACACTTTAGGAAAGCCAATTCCCAGCTTGGTTGAAGCGGGGAGGGGGAAGAAAAGAGAACCTGAACTCGGGCCGTAAGCTAAATGGAAGATCCTAGGGTGAGACTTTGGGATGAACTCCATATCTCACTTCTTATCTCCATTTTTCTTGGTATGGAAAATGGACACAATGAGACTTGAATTCCAAATCCTCTCCCTTGTTTCCTTACCCAAACCTTGGAATGGTGCTCTTTTACCTCGAATCCGAGCATCTTCCTGCAGCTGAAAAATAATGAGAACACAGAATCAGATGGTGGGGGCTGGTCTCCTGTGGACCTGCCGTGTCCTCGCTATCGACTTGGTCAAATGCAGGGATGTCTGTTTGGGAAAATATGGGCTTCTTGGACATGGAACTCCCAGGATTTCTTTTTCTTTTCTTGAGATGGAGTCTCACTCTGTCATCTAGGCTTGAGTGCAGTGGCGTGATCTCGGCTCACTGCAACCTCCACCTCCCAGGTTCAAGGGACTCTCCTGCCTCAGCCTCCCCAATAGCTGGGATTACAGGTATGCGCTAGCATACAGGGCTAATTTTTGTATTTTTAGTCGAGATGGGGTTTCACCTGGCTACCTCGGTCTCCCAGAGTGCTGGGATTGCTACCCAGGCACTTTGGCAACCGTGCCCAGCCAAAATCTCAAGGTTTCTGAAAGCACAATTTGTATTGTTTTTGTACCTCGCACTTCATATAGCATATGCTCAATAAATGTCTTTTGAATAATGAATGCATAAATAAATAGGAGCAAGCTGAGTCTCTTTAGGGGTGGGAGACACACAATTCATCAGTTACAGTCATAACTACTCATACCAAGACCTCACATCTTTATTCTTTCTGACCCTCCTGCTGTGTCTTTTCTGGGCCTTTTTACACTCCCCATTGAGCCTCCAGTGCTTCTCTGTAGAGAAGCTTTAAGTATGTGTAAAGGATCTTTTAAAAATTCCTTCTTGGCTGTGTGCAGTGGCTCACGTCTAATTCCAGCACTTTGGGAGGCTGAGGCGGGTGGATCACCTGAGGTCAGGAGTTCGAAACCAGCCTGACCAACACGGTGAAATGCCATCTCTACTAAAAATGCAAAAATTAGCCAGGAGTGGTGACACATGCCTGTAATCCCAGCTACTCGGGAGGCTGAGGCAGGAGAATCACTTGAACTCAGGAGGCGGAGGTTGTGGTGAGCCGAGATTGTGCTACTGCACTCTAGACTGGACAACAGAACAAGACTCTGTCTCAAAAAAAAAAAAAAAATCCTTCTTAGGAAGGGCACAGTGCCTCATGCCTATAATCTCAGCACTTTGGGAGGCCGAGGCTGGCAGATGGCTTGAGTCCAGGAATTTGAGACCACCCTGAGCAACATAGCAAAACCCCTTCTCTACAAAAAATACAAAAATTTAGCTGGGTGTGGTGGACCCAGCTACTTGGGAATCTGAGTGATGAGATTCGCTTGAACCAGGGAGCCAGAGGTTGCAGTGAGCTGAGATCACGTCATTGCACTCCAGCCTGGGCACAGAGTGAGACCCTGTCTCAAAGAGAGAGAGACAGAGAGAGAGAGAGACAGAGAGGGAAAGAGAGAGACACTGAAATCTATAGAAGGAGAGCAGAGGAAGAGGTTTTATTTCTATTTACCCAAGAAGGTTAGCCCTGGTCTCTAATTCATACTTCCCTGCAGTTAACAGACATACTCATCTAATAAGGCAGTTTACTGTATCACTAGGGGGTTCTTCCCAACTCAGTCACTTATCAGCATTTCATACAACTACAAAGAGTATCTTTGCTGAGAGAAGTTCTAGCAGATAAGATTTCCTGTCTGTATGGTTACATTTCCTCAAGGGACCGTTAGGCACCTTCTTGCCTTAGCCGCCTGGACTGACAAGTCAGTGGTACTCTTTAAGGGAGAAATCACTAGAAAAATAAATAAAGCTGAAACCTTGGTCAGAGGCAACATCTCAGTAGGGTAAGGAAAAAATGGGATCAAGGCACATGACAGGGCTGGGGAACTCAGAGAGTCAAAATCTAATCTCACCTCCTTTTGTATATTCTTAAAAGCTGTCAGCACCTGACAGAAGACAAAGATAAAGAAAAATTAATATAGGCAATCACTTTATTACAGAGGGATTTAGTCACCTAGTCTCCTAGCCACTAGGCTGTAGAATGTAGATGCCAAGAGACTGTGGCTTTGTAGCTCTAGCAATAAATCCTCATTGACTTCCACTCTACAGAAGTAGAGTGGGAAGTTTCTCCACATGGTAAATGGGCAAACTACAGTAAAGTATTTAAAGAGGACTGGGCTGTGCATGGAATGTATAATGAAACCTACTGTTATATTTCTTTTCTGTCTGATTGGTTCTTATTCTGAAGCTTAGTATAGGTATTAAAATCAACATGTATTTGCATTTAGGTTATAATGTGCTGGATGTTGGTGAGGTTGTGGAACAGCTGAAAATCTTGTGCATCATTGGAGGGAGTGTGAAATCATATGCTCACTTTGGAAAAAGTCCTGGCACTTTCTTTTTTTTTTTTTTGTTTTCTTTTTTGGCTGTAAGTTTATTGAATGCAAAAGAATCCTCTCTAGTTTTCCTGATGTGGCTGACCATGTCCCCCAAATCTGCCTCTGCATTCAGTTGCTGACCCAGCCCCAGCATCAGCTTCCTTGTCACCACCAGGCGGCACAGCACTCTGTAGGTGTCTCTGTCGGCTTCCCCTCTTGTGACTCTTGCAGGTCGCTCACCCTCCAGACCTTTAGACCGAGGCCTGCCAGTCTCTGGATGGCTGTGGCGTAGAGCGACAGGCACAATCTCTGGGGGCAGATGAAGGTAATCACGGAGATACTGGATACCCTCCTTGATAAGGTACCAGTAGAAATGTCTCCGAGGCAAACTGTTCCTTCACATAGCCTCGGAACTTGAGAGACAGCATGGCTTTCATGACTGCCAGCTTGTCTGCCAGCTCCTGGTGTTAGCCATCTGGGCATCCTTCCTGGCCACCAGGACTCCCTCTTTAAAAAGGAGTTCATAAATGGCAATCCAGTTCTTCTTAGGCATCAACCTCTGGGTGGCTGTAGGGTCTGGGGCTGGGGCTGGGGCTGGCAGTTCCTTCCCTC